TGGTTCGGCGGCGAGAAGAAGGACGAGCCTGTGGGTGCTGGAGGAAAGAGGTTTAGGTAGAAGAAGGGTGTGGGGTGCGAGAAAGGGAGGGTGTGGGATGCGGGGAAAGGAGGTGCGGAAAACGGGGGTACCGAGAAGAGAAGGGAATATAAATTTAGGAATTTTATTTTTTTTAAGGGTAATTTAGATATTTTATATATTTTTTTTTTAAAAGAGGGTGTGTTCATAGGTGAGTGGAGGTGTGTTTATCATCTGCCTTTGGAATATTATCAGGCCCGTTCGTATTTGGATCTGTTACGTACATTTTTTTGTTTCCTTTTTCTGATATTTTAATGTTTTTGGGCTTGACCCATTTATGACTTTTTATGCAGCTAAAAAAGTTATGGATGACACATGACCAAGTCAAAATTAAAATATTTCCTTGAATCAAACCAAATATTTCTTTAATCAAAATCAAATACATTGACATATGATTAAAGAGATGGCCTCGTAACTATATGTTATGATTTTCTGCTGGCTTAATTGGACAACAGTGAATAGAACGTGGTAAAGTTCAAGTTATTTAAAAAAGATGGGCAATCTTTTTATTATCGTTTGTAGTTGAGTTGGTTCAAACCTAAAGATGTCATGTAAAGCATAGTTGGCTTGGGCATGCACCGGAGGCTTTCATGGCAGCATGTGTTTGATTTAACGTTAAAAATGTCTAAACGTTCATTCATATTGAATTTGAGACCCTCTGTCAAATGTAAAGCAAGCCCTAAAAGTTCTTAAAAATTTTGTTCGGAGACTAGTTAATGGAATTGCTCATTCTCTTACAAGCAAATCATGATTTTATGCTGGCTATAAAACTCTTTAATTTATTTCAACCGATGTTGCTCCTCTTATTTTGAACTAAAAGGCATAAACTTATTGTTGTAAAGAAAAACAAGTTAAATCAATTATAATAATTTTGAATTCATATGAATGACAACGAATAAAACCATTCCTTTGCAACAACAATGAGACTATTGTAAACTAGTAGGATGAAAGGTATTTCGTGTCTTCCTTAGAGTGAAGAAGAATTATTTTAACAATCAATTATTCAGTAGTTTGTTTTTAGTCATGTATAGTTTTTTTTATGATAGTTAATTAAAGGATAAAATTAAAAAATAATTGTGGACATCAAAAAGTGGTATCTCTATTATTATTATTAGTGTCGATAAAAACTATAGACAAAACAATAAAATATCTTTAAATTATAATAAAAGATAAGTGAGAACTAAGCTACTTTAAGAGCAAGCTCTCAATGAAATCACTTCATTTAATAACTTTGTATGTCTTAGATTTTAATAAATCAGGTATTGAATTAATATTTTGATATTGTATCAATAATCATTTATAATTAAATTTTAGATAAATTATAGATTTATAATTAGATAATCTTATGATAGATATTCAATTTTTTAAAAGGCTTATTATATGTTAAATTAAATTTATTTAATTAAACATTACATTATTTTAAAATTTAACAAAAAGAATAGACTTGTCCTAATTAATGAGAGTGAGATAATCAATAATTAAATTATTAAATACACTAAGTTATTAAAGAAAGTAACTATATAAAAAAAATTACTTCTTGCATAACTTGATACGCACCCTAAAATGTCAATTATATAAAAGTTGTAAAATCAAAGCGTAAATCAATTTATTTAGTATGTTTTAAGTGAATAAAAATCTTGTTTTATATTTTTTTTAACCTTAGAATCGATATAAAGTATAGATTACTAGAAGCGGTGACTAATCTTGATTAAAGACCGTTAACATATATAAGATAGATATTCTCCTTCTGTATAAAAACTATAAAATTAAGAAAATAAATGACACTTAAATATCATATCTACAAAAATAAATATTTGGCACATGCAGCATTCTGTTGATCATCAAGCTCATAATTAACTAAAAGTAGTCAAGCTGGTATTCAATTTGATACTCAGCATCTAAGAAAAATTTGTAAAATTTATCCCAATATGCAATATTTAGTAATGCCTTCGTTTCTTTTTTTTAGAATTTTAGTCCAATTTGAAAATATAATAATTTTTTTTTTCCAAGTAGACACAATTGATTAATATCCACCGTTTTTCACACCTTATTTCTCTCTCTTAAACATATAATTGGTTAAATAATAGTAATTAATATAATTTTATTATCTTAAACTTTTAAATGAAAAAAAAAAAAAAGAACAATTTTTTCTTCTAAAAAGGCAACACTTTAAAAAAGGAATAGAATTAATAAAGGCAGCAGGCCATAACTTTTGGTTGGCGAACAAGAAAGTGATTAAGAGTAACAAACGGAAATCTAAATATATTTCATTTGACAATTGTTTCTCGGATTTTTTTGATTCTGCAGGGAGGGGGGAGAAACAAGAATTTTATTTATAATTACAGTGTTACACATTGCATGTATTGCACACAAGCCCAAAAAACCCGACACTTGAATGATGTACACCGATGAAACTCTGATGCATGAACCTGAAGCCAATCCACGCAGGATCTACACACACTATTAAACACATCTTGACATGGTCCTCTAGATTAGGCTTAAGACAATCTTGTGTGCTATGCCATTGTCAATATAACTGTAGTTTCAGAGTTCCATATAATGATGGTCAGAGTGAAAAAATGTGCACAGAATATAACTCTAGTTTCACAACGGCTTCAGCAAAATCTGCATATGAGATCATCTTAAAGGAAATTCATCACTTATTCACCTCCCATCTCCTGAATTATCTCAGCCTCCAAAACACATCTAATCTAGATCTTCCTATGATGGGAGCGACCCGGGCTCATTATGTTTCGAGAACCAATGCTTGCTGTTCTTAGAAGCCTGCGAAATTCTGGTAAGCTGATTTTTCCATCTTTATCGATATCGGCTTCCTCGAGCAAGGGATCAATGGAGCCTCTCAAACCTGTATGCTGAAAAGCCAACAAAGTGATGTTAGTTGCAGAAAACTTGTATCTTAAGTAAAATGCATTACTCTACAAATAAGCCAACCATTCTAAGTTCATCTGGAGTAATATAGCCATCCTTATCCAAGTCAAATTTCTCAAAAGCAGCCTGTGACCGTTGGTGCCACTTATCAGAATCATGTTCCTCCAATTGATGTACATGTAATGTAGCTGCCACAAACTCAGTGAAATCCACTAGTCCATCTGTGTTGCTGTCTATCTGCCACCACACAAGAAAAAAGCCATAATGGTGAATAGAGACTGATAAGGGGAAGCAACATCTATTGTCTAATTAAAAATACAATCATAAAAGAGAGGAAGAGAAAATAATATCCTTAAACACGAAGGAAACTTTATGAGTTCCAAGCTTTTAAAGTAAAAAAGGGATGATAAGTAACTACAAAAAATGTGATTCTTTCATCGTAATTACTAACCGCTTGCAAAATCTCTAGCACACGTGACTCTTTCAACTTCCAAGGGAGATCTTTAGCAAGAGCCTGCACAAAAGATACCCTTTAGACCAAAGCCGGGAAAACTATACTCAAGGGGTTAATTGCAAATAGATTGACAATTAATGAGCTTAAGTTAATATAGAGTCTATTTGGATACAAGTTAAAAGCACTTTTAAAAGTTTCTCTACTGAAAATAAAGAGCATTTTTCTGGTAAAGAAGCTCTCAAAAGCACTTCTAAGTTTGTATCCAAACAGACTCATGACCAGAAAGAAGTTGATTAATGGGTTACCTGTCTCATTTCCTCAAGACTAATAGAACCATTTTTGTCCACATCTATTGCATCAAACTGATCTTTTAAATCAGATAACTCTCCTTCATTAAGTGTGCTAGCCAATGCCTGCATGATAATCGAGTAACAAATAATTGACATCAAACAAGAATCATGCCTTCAAACATGCAAAAAAAGCTTTAATTAGTTTGTAATTTCTCACCCTTAGTGCAAATTGTTTCAACCGACTATATTTCACAAACTGTCGCATGTTGTTCAGGACAGATATATCAATAGGAATCTCTAATGCCTCTCCTCCTTCTTTAACCCATGGATGTGCTGGAAATAACAGAATTTGTCAACAAAACACAACATTAGGATATAGGTTTGTTTTAAATATTTTAGATAAAGGGAAAAATTATACAGTTAAAATCCTGTTATGTTTGACTCTCAGTTTATTAAATTCAGAAAATTGTATGGAAATACAATTTAGCATAATTGCTAAGCTAGAACTGAAACAAAATCTATGAGATTTAATGCATTTATTCAGTAAACAATGCTCGGCCAAACATCTAACATAGTTGAGAAGCTCTTGCTGTTTCATAATATGTAAGCACATCTAGGCCACTCCCTAATTTTAAAAATGACTATTTAATTATTACCCTTTAGTTGCATTAGATAACTAATTTATTGACTGTAAATTTACCGTCACTGCTAAATACTTGCAACTGCAAATTTACTTGGTGCAATGAGACTCGTGGAGGCAAGACTGCATACATTTTTCCTCTCAGAACACCACTGGATGAGAGCCTCGTGCACTGGCTCACCTCCCTGTTGCATACTTGCAGCAATGGTTATGTCCCTCTTTTCTTCTTTTCAAGATAACTTAGCTGTAGTCTTTTTGGTTTATGTGCAATCAATTGTGCAGTATATTTTTCTTTTAGTGTTTTACTCCCATTTTTATTTTTAAATTTTTCGTCCTATCTTTCTTTTCTACTTCAATAATTCAACACAGTAACATACATTTAATTTAAACAAACATCATAAAAGAAAATGTAACCTTTTTTAATTGATAGAGTGGATGCAAGATGGAAGCTCTAAAATGAGGGCCATTTTGGCAATATGCATAGCTTCTATCTTTGGTATCATTTGAAAAAAAAAAAAATTGTTAGGTAAAAAGTTTTGCACTTAACTCGATGCTTAAAATGAACAGCTTTTCATTTCAAATACCATAAATCCAGTGCTTAAACTTTAAGGATTATTGAACGCTCAAAATTTGAGGCAGTGATCAAAATGTAACTTTTTCAAGGAAAGGAAACTAAATAATTTAATAAACAGCCTTCTCATAATAAGAAATCAGTTGGATACGTACATAGAGCCTGAGCAGCAGTATATCTTGCCCGAGGATCTTTTACCAACAATTTCTTCACAAAATCTTTTGCAGGGTTGCTTATGGTTGGCCATGGTTTCCGCCGGAAATCAGGCTTGTTCCGTAAGACCTACATATGATAAGATCATAAATTAAATTTAATATCAAAAGATTTATTCAAGTTCTTACTGGCATGAAAATAAAGGCCAAACATTTATTCTAGTTCTTAAAGAAACAAAGAATGGATAAAAATCCCACATAAATTACGGGAAATTCATGCCATAAAAAGAATTATACCTCCTTGAATATACCATCCTCAGTCTTATCCCAAAATGGCCGTCTCCCACAAAGCAATATGTATGTAATCACTCCAATACTCCATACATCTGACTCTGGACCTGACTTCCGTTTTAACACTTCTGGTGCAACATAGTAAGCACTGCCAACAATATCTTGAAACCTCTTCCCTGTTTTGTTTTCAAAGAAAGAAAACTAAAACTATTAAAAACATATAGCAAGAACATGTTGAATGCAGAGGGGGCGAAAAGAAAACAAATCAATGATTAACATAAATATTTAGCTCACCGGGTTTTATGAAATCAGACAAACCAAAATCAGTAGCCTTTAAAGGTGAATCTTCTCTTGTTGATTTGAAAAGAAAATTCTGCATGCAAAGAGGAAAAAAATTTAATGTCTAGCAGGACACACAACTCCATAATGCTTAAATATGTCAGTGGACTTGAACACACCTCTGGTTTCATGTCCCGATGTACCAACCCATGTAAATGACACTCAGCTGCAACCTTGAGCATTTGTCTTACAACCACAGCCGCATCTTTTTCAGTATAACGACTGTCCTTCCTGAAAAATGTGAAGGTAGACAAAGTAAGTTTCAGTACAAGAAACAACATACAGCTAAACACAATTTGGGATTCCTAACACATAAGCAAGCCTGTTTCTGATATTTGTGCATCATAGACACTCATAAGAGCCACTTCGCCAAGGAAAAAAACTAATCACAATAAGAAGAATTGGAACGTACTTGGACAATATCCGATCTAGCAGTTCTCCACCCTCACATAACCTAAGAAGGTAATTGTCACGAAGTTTGTGTTAATAATAGCATTAATATAAAGAAATTTTAGATAAAGCGAAAACACAACACAAATAATTTCATGAATCAGCTCCTGAAAGATATATCCAAAGTACAGTTATATGATGCTCAAAATCATACAAACACTGCTTTCAAAAAAAAATCATACAAACACAGAAAAACAGCATAGAAAAGAGACTGAAAAACAAAAAGTAACTTACTCCATAACTATGTACACATATGAATCATCCTCAAAAGCATTATAGAACTGAACCACATTTTCATGGCCTGTAAGTTCTTTCAATATCTTGACTTCTCGCTTAACATCCTCAACAGCTATGGGGAGAACCATCTGCCAAAAATTCAAGGATAATGAAACCTCTTACGAAAACAAATGGGAGCATAAATAACAAGAACACACTGAAAAATAGTTCCAGGAAAACTTTGGTTAACTAAACTCATATTTCACATTTATTCAAAACCAATTGCAGGCATCAACAACACTAGCCAGATTCATTATTACTCAGCCACTCTCTTCTGAATTCTCACCATTCCGTATAACATTAATTAGCTCTATCACGACCTTCCAAGGAGGATGTCGCGACATAACGATCAGCTAAAGTGAAAAGAAAAACGGAATTGTCAACAACTCGGAAGCGTACTTTCTTCGAGGTAGAGGGATTAAAAAAAAACGCAACCAAATGGCTTAATATACAATTTGCAGAAAAAGCCATAAACAAATCAGACGTTTTGTCTGATAAAAACCGGCCATACAAAAACTTATCGAACAAAACAATAGATACAGAGAGGAATCACCAGACATTCCAGAAGCCCCTTTACAATTAAGGAAGCAAAATTAATTAATAAACAAAAGCCATCATTATTCCTTATTCCATATTCCAAACAAATTTACCAATCTCCAGCACCAAAAAATCTCACAATTCAAAATTCTACCTACCCATTGACCAAAACAAAGCCACAATCGAAGTAGACGAGGAAAAGAAGAGAAATTTAATTCCATTAGCTTAAAACGAACACAAAATCTAAACTGGGTATCCACGGAACAACAAAAGACATAGCTTTCAATACCTTGGCCTTCTCGAGTCTCTTAACGGCGACACGATCCCCATTCACTTTATCAATTCCAACGTAGGTGTAACCGAATTGACCATGTCCCAACAATTTCCCGAGCGAGAATTTCTTGTCGAAGTCCTTCTCGTAGCCGAAATCCGTGCGCTTTCCACACGGCACGTGCCCCCCTTGCCGACGCGCACCCGCTTTATCCTTGGCACGTGCGTTCTTCTGCGAATCCTCCGTCGCCCGCCGCCGTTGACCATGCGAGGTTTGCTGCTTCTTCTGCGCCGGCGCAGGCGCGGTCTCCAGCGGTGCGGCGGAACATTTACGGTTGCGGTTGGAGGTGTTGTTGCTGTTGGAGCCGCTGACCTTGGTGGCGGAGAAACACATACCCATGATCAAAGAATTGCAGAGAGATGAAAGGAAGAAGAAGATGTTATCATTCGTTAGCAGCAGAAAGAGAGATAGAGAGAGAGAATTGTGAAGTGTTGATGATTTGGTGAGAGAGAGAGAAATAGGAAGAAGGAAAAGAGGGGGCAGGGACGACGAAGTAGGGAAGAAGGTGATGATGGTCAAAAGATACTTTTTGAATGAAATGAAGGCTGAGATGAGAGGAACACAAAAAATGGCGTTGCTCTTTCCCCAAACTACTTCCAATAATAATTCCCATTCGCCATTCTAATTTTTTCTTTTTTAATTCTTCCTTCCACAACTTAGCTGTCACTTCCCATGTTAGCTTTTTCGCTTAATTAACATTCACTTTAACTTCCATTTTTCATGTATCTTCTCCTTTCTTTTAACCGCTTCTTCTTCTTCTTCTTCTTCTTTTAATGCACAAGTCATATGCCAAATCGATTTTTTAAGACTTGGTTTTTCTTTTTTATTTTTGGAAGGTGGATGTTTGAAAATTAATTATTCTACCTAATCTATGCTAATGCTACCATAACTTACAATAATTTATTAAAAAACCAAACGTGATTATTCACATGTAAATGCATCGCTTATTAATTAATGGAATTTTAAGTTACAAGTTAAGAGGACTAAATCTTTAAAATCGGTTAATTGTGACTAAAAACTTTATTAGAAGATGTCTTTGTTTTGATCAGAAGAAGTCCATTTTAACAATAACCGTATCTCAAGTAAAATTAAATTTGTGTTGGTATGCTTACCAGCTATTACTACTACTACGGTGTCTCGGTTTGAAAAAATAAAAAATAAAATTATCTTTTACTAAAAATATTGTAAGAAAAAAATATTAATTTATTTCAGATGGATTAATTATATTTTGTTGGGTACATGTTTTAATAAAGAATAAATTCTAATAAGATCAAGTTGAAGCTTGTGATGTTTTTAAGAGTTTAATTTTCATATATTATTCTTGTAAATATTTTTATACTATCAATTAAAAATTATTTTATATGATTTTATATTTTTATTATAAAAATATCTTAAATTACTAGCTATTATAAAAATTAACATACTTATTATTATGTACAATATAATTTATATATTCAAACTTTAATTATGTTTTGGTACAATCAAATATTAAATATTGGTTCAATATACGGAAGATTAATCTTTTGATTAAATCTAAGATACTTAGTTTTTCTCATAATCTTCATTTACATTTTTAGATTTTGCTTAGATTAAAAATATCCCTGCAATATATTATATATATATATATATATATATATATAAACCAATCGTTACAGTTCCTCTTATTTTAATATCCCAAACAATCATGGCTGGGATTAGAATACCAAAAAAATATACTAATGTTGACCAAGTCTTCACTCTTAAACATAAATAATAATTATCTAATCGAACAATAATCAAATGAACTTCAATTTCACTGTCGTTCGGTGTTCTGGGCTCCTTACTCCCCTTACCCTAATTCAAGAGTTGCTGTTTTCTGACATTTCCTTTTTCAACAGCTGCTAATAATTATGACAAGACATTCATACAAATTTAATTTGATTTTAGTAATTTACCAGTTAATAGTCTTTTCACAAAAAATAAAAACATTTATATCCGCTTGTATATATATCGGATTAAAAATTGTACAGATTAATAATCGAATAAGAAATTTTAGTATTCAACTTCAACTTACCAATTCAAATTATTATAATTATGTATCAGATAAAATTATGAATACAAATATTAAAATATATATCGATAATACATTATAGAAATCCATACATGTATATATTATTATATATAATACTATATATATATATATACATTAATGTTGTATTATATTTATTATATAATATATTTTGTGAATCATGCGTTTCATTTAATTATTTTATTTTATTATGATTCATTAAAATTTTTAATTTTTAGTAAATTTTTACTAATAATAAAAAAATATTATAAAATAAGTATTGATTGAAGAGTATCAATAACATTTCTTATAAATAATATATATTTTGACTGTTCAAACAAACTTTTCTAGTTTCAGTTTTATTAGGCACGGAGGTAAGGGACAAAATAATATTTTTTAAAATTATATCCGTATAAAACAAAATTAGACACCCAAATAACTTAAGACAATAATAAATTTTATCCATCATTTATTTAACATAAAGAAATAGTCACAATTAAATATATTTTATCAAAAGAATAATAAATTAAGAAATTTTTAGATCAATTTGTAAAAAAAATATTTAAAAAATTTAATTTAATGGAATAACTAAGAGTTATATTAATTATTGTAATACTGTTGATTTTGAAGTGTCTAATTTAATTATATGTTAATTTATGAGTTATTAATGTTGTTTTAGAATTCTAAAATTAGAGTCTTTTAGAGTTAGGTTGTTATTTATGTAATTAAGTTGGAGTTAAATTAGTTTAACTTTAAAAAAAAGTATATAAGATTTTTTTAAGGCACACAATCTTTATATATAATTAATATTGGAATGTTTTCCGTTTTATCATTTATTAGTATAATAGAAAAACTATTTATTATTGTATAAAAGAAAAACTAACTTATACATGAGTATAAAATAGGTTCTTTAAAAAACCTAGTAGGAAAAAACCTTTACAAATAAGCTTATATATTTTTAAGTTATTTTTAGTTTATAAAAAACTTTATTTTAATTATTTTTTAAAAAAAATTCTTATAAGTGACTTAAAAAAATATATCCAAATACACTCTAAAAAAAACTCGAATATGAAACAAATTTAGTTAAAATAAATTATTAGCCAAACAAACTTATAAACTATCATTGCGATCGTTTTTATGTTTGAAATGCTTACATGTCAATTTCACCCAAAACATGATATGCAAACATTTTTTGTTGAGATATCTTAAAATTTGTAAGAATTATAAACCAAACAATACACCAACTTGTGACACATACTCAAATAAGAGCGTCTATTTTCCACTTTTCCAGTTATTTTAGATACAATTTTAAAATATTTTATTTTCCGTTATTTAAATCGCGTATCTCCATCGTATTACCGGAAATTTCCGGTAGGGGAGACATGCTACATAAAAAGACAGGATTTGTTTTTTTTTTTTTTTTACATATATGAAAATACCGACTGTCAATTAAAAAAATTATCCAAATTAAACTTCTTAAATTATAACAATGAAAATCAATATATGATTGATCGGAATGAAAGTATTTAAAATTCCTTAATCACACTATTGAAATTCTCAACCAATAACTAATAATGAACAAATTCGGTAATATTTTATGCATATAATAACATGTTATTTACATTCAAATAAACTAGGAAGCTTGAATCATTAATTAGAAATCATTATTCTACATGTTTAAGATTGAACTTTCATCAATTCAATTATTTGTTTGCTATAGTATATATAACAGTGTAACCTGCTGGACTGTGATCAGTTGCAATCTCATGCAGTTTTATCGTTTTTAAGCTGAAATTTTTAGATTTTTATTTTGTTGCTATAAAACAAGAGTTTGAACTTTGAAGGATATATTAACATCGTTTGTAGTTTCACAAAACATGAGACGTAAGATCCGGATCCACGTCCTGCCAGGGATTACTCCTAATCTTATTTATGTTTTTTTTTTCTCCAACATATTCTCCAAGAAATTCTGACCAAATACTATAAAAAAAAAAAAGATTACTATTCTTTGTTATGTTACCGATAGAAGAAACATATGATGAAGAAAATGAGATGGAGTGTGCATTGGTTGAGGATATTCTTCTGTGTCAGTATATACTCGAGCGAATAATGAATTATTTTTGTGTGCTGAAAAGAGTTTAATAAGAAATTAGACTTTGACTTGACTTCGGTTTTCTACTATACTGTATCTTGTTAGGATGCTTCAATTTCGGATAACGCGTGGACTCCGAAATTCAAAGATTCCACTGAGCCTCACCGGAACTCAAATATGCATTTGAAATTCGACTAGTCCTCTTTGAATCAGGATATAATCTTTTCTTTTATTTGTCTATTATATAAGGGACAGAAAATTTTATATTAAAATTTATAATAAATTAAAATTTTAATATATAAATTATATTTTGGATGCAAACAATAATTTAAATTGTAATGTAAAGATATTTTTAACTATATATTGGTAGTTTTTTTAAAAAAGAATTAACATTTAATATAAGAATAGATAAAAACAATAAATTAAAAAAGATAGGTGATTAAAAAAACAAAGTATATAGATAAAAAAAAAATAATAAAAGAATGACATGGTTAAGAAAAAAATTTATTAGCTACTTATAAGGACAGCGTATAAAATGCACCTTTAGAATTAATTTAAGATAATACTGTACAATTATTATCGAATTAACTACTATTGATTATAATTACACTATTGAAATTTTGAAACTAGTATAATTTTATTATATTCAACGTATATTATGCAAAAAATTATATATTATGGTTAAACTTCTCATGAAATTTACTAAAAACATATTAAAAAGTATTTTAAAACATTCAACATGCAACTTTATAAAAACAAAGTTTAAACTAATTTATATTAAAATTTAAATTATTTTTGTGAACATAAATAATTTTTTATTTAAGCTTTCAGATTTTCAAATATACAAGAAACATCAATGTAGGGTTCTTATCGAAACTAGTTTTATAAGAATTTCTCATTGGAACATGCTTAATTGACAACATAAGTTTTTTATAATTAATAATTAGTTCTTATATAAACAACACGTTTATTAATAGAAGGATAGAGAGAAGATGATAATCCATGATTTAATGACAAGTTGAAAATTTTAAAATCAAGTATTAGTATCCATTTATGTGATTAATCAAAACTTAATAATATTCAATTTAACTTATAATTTTACTTACAAATCTAAAGACCATAAAATCTATCATCATTCAAATAAAATTTGTAAAAAATTCATATAAATTACTTAAAAATAATGATGTATGATCCAGTCCATTCAAAATGAAATAAAACCTTCTTAAGTTACATATAGAAACCCTCCTTCGAAGATGCTATACATGTTTACAGATCATTAATTTGTAGTTGTTCCAGTACAGATCTCTGCATGTTACAATTGCAAACTCACATTTTACCTGATCTGTCATACGAGGTGCACATATACAGCCATCAAACCGTACTTTTTGCCGACTTCTCTACCTTACAAGTGATTGAATATTATTGTAGAAACAATGGAACATAAATCAGTCCAACAATAGGTTTATTATCATTAG